ATAGCTTGAAAACTAAAAGAAAAGAAGCTTTAGTTATAATTCCCTAAAAATTATAAGCTGAGGGTGGCACCCCCCGAGAGTACTAGGTTTTCTTTGGGGCTCATCACCCCCTCTGTGTGTGAGCACTGCGGATAGCGGGGTACAGGCTATATACACATATATTTCTTTAGTTCCTTTTCATGACTCCTCCCACTAATATCTCTTTCTCTTTTCCCTGCTCTTCAGCATCCTGTCTCTTTTCCTTTCACTTATTTTCCTTCCTCGATTTCTCTTCCATCTACGGCTACAATATATATTTGCTATAAAGTACGCCTATCATTTGTTGATTAATTGAACAGTTCACTGTAGTCAACGGCAGATCAATGATGCATTTTATGAAAGGGAAAAAAATTAGTTGCTATTTATTGGCCCTCAATTGATTTTTTTTCCACCATCAACGAAAAAAAAGGAAAAGGTTCCTCAACCACACTCTCATGTACCCTCGAGTCTTCTATAGCTGTAGTAAAGACGGGAGGGAATTTAGTGCTCTATCTCAAATAAATTATAAATTGACATTTGTGGTTAAGTTTGACATTGCATGCTCTTTAGAAAAAATAAATAAATAATGAAACAGTGTGTAGAAAAATTAAATTTACCCAATGCAAACCAGAATAAAGTTTTAAGGCCTTCAGAGGGATCCCAGAGCTGTCTGAGCACGTCCCAGGGGCCGACTTCCTAGAATATTAATGTTTTCTCTGACACTGGCATCCACTGCAGCTTGGGACAAGCCTTTACAATTGCTGGGGTTCAGCTTTCTCTTACCCCAAATGCTATAAACCAGACCATAAAATGCTGTGAGAATTAATGGAGGCTAAAGCTTTACAAACTGCTAAAACATTAAAAAAAAAATTATTCACAGAAACAAAAGGCCAACATCCTTACCTCTGGAATAAGTTGGAAAATTGCATTTGAAAAAAGAGTCCCAATAGCCAACCCCACAAAATAGGTCAAAATCTTTGGGAAGTAAGATTTCTTTATCAATGGAGTCAAAACCAGTCCGAGGAGAGATGCCAGGTTAATGATTGTCACTGACAGGAATCCATATCCCCAAACTGCAGGTGAGACGGAAAAGAGAGAAGAAATCAATTAGAGGAACGGGACCGAATGACGTCCGACGGCACATTACGCTTGAAACAAGCTGAAAAGCATCTTTATTTATTTTTTATTTACTTATTTTTTTTAAGTTTTGGGTCAATATGAGGGTGCATATGACTAGGTTGCACCGTTTACGTTTGTAAGGTAAAGTCCAAGCTGTAGTTGTGACCTTCACCCAGGAAGTGGGCCCTTTACCCATAGAGCCTGAAACAGATAATAATCTTTAAAACAATAAAATCTTCTCAGTGAAAATTACATAGAAAACAGAAACACAGTAGAGTAAGCATTAATAGGAACACTGCATGGATAGCAATATCAGCTATGTTTTAATCACCCCTAGCTCGTCATTATGGGATTAAAGAGGTTTACAGATGACAGGGAATTTGGAGAACACCTAGAGTCATGACAGACAGCCTGAGGTCCACAGGCCACCTAGATCCACCTATGGCTCCAGGTACGGTGTAAAACTCAGGCTTCAGGAGGAGTAGAGAGGCCATGTGAGTTTCAGGGAAAGCAATGGGGGGATGGGCAGGGGTGGGGTGGAGATGAGTGGGGGTGCATCAGCTTCAAGGTGACCACGGTTGCTGATACTGAAGTTGTCGTATCACTTATCTGCAGACCCCTGCGGATAGCAGCCCCTCAGCACCCCCAGCTGAGGCCTCCTGGGATCTAAAATCAGCATCAGGAAGTGAGCACATGGGCACGGGAGGAGTGGCTGCATAGTACAACTAACCCTGCCAAGCACAGATTAAAAAGTCCTCCGTGATAGAAGGGGGTGGTTCATCTTCCATACCCAGGGCTTAGCATCGGGCTACTTTCTCACCGGCACTACCAGGGGAGTGCACGAGTCACACGATGCTGGGTGAACATTTCCCATGTGCCGGGCCCTGGGCTAAGCAATCAGCGTGTATCTATCAGCACGTTGAACCCCTCCTCGCCAAACCCCTGAAATAAGCACCACTCTCACCTCCCTCATAGAAACTGAAGAAACCAAAGCATATGGTGTTCAAATAAGCTGCCCAAGTCCCACGAATAGAAAGCTGGATTCAAACCCCAACGGTCTCCTCCCAGGCCCACATTCTAAACAATGTGCTTCATCATTCTTGTACAAGTGGTCCCATAGGGCTCACAACACTGTGAAAATGTTATCCTAAATTATATTTCATTGGTACAAGATTGGTCAATATTATTCTTAGGCCAAATAAACCAACTGATCAAATGTTCAATAAACCTAGGATATGGACCAAAAAACTGCCAACCAGGAGCTTTCAATCTCTGCTTGAGGAGCTGGGAAGTGTGCTGAGTGAAACAAAGTATCTATGCTAAATACAGCACTGACCATGATGATTTTACCTTGTCCAGATGCACTCCTATGAGTCGCAGATCTGGCCATGCCCTGTAAAGTCATCCAACAGGCCACCTTCCCATTTATCACCTTATGGTCTAAAACAATACTACCTACTCCCCTGGTACTTCCCACTTGGAGAAAGTTCTCAATCCCACACCTTCCTTCACGGTGTATCTCCACAGATACTCATTTGACACAATCTCCACCCCATCACTAGTCTACATGCATTCATTCAACAAATACTGATAAGCTGGCTCCCGCACAATCCCTTCTCAATATAGCCTCTATACAAACACAAGATTTTCCCAACTCAACATTACCTTTACACTTGGAGTACTCTGTCTGGAAACATCTTTCTATTGCCCAAAAAACTCCTATGTGGCTTTCCTTGCTCCCCCAGATAGCAGTCCCTCGCTCATCAAGAGTCCCATAGCTCTCTGTTTGAAGCTGATGGGTCTACTTACCACTTCTTGTGTGCTACAGTAATTTTATCCCTTATATATTGGTCTACCTCACATAAACTGCCAGATTCTCAATAGGAGGGGCTATTCTTATTCATTCTCAAGGCCTAGAAAATTGCCCAACAAATAGCACACATTCCTTGCTGAATGAATTAATGGATGTCCTATTTCGAGATGCAGCTTTAGAACTCCATAAAAAAAAAAAAAGAAGAAAGAAAGAAGAAATACCAACCCATTTGCTTTCTTAATGTTTCTAACCTTCCTTTATTTCATTTAGTTCATTGTTATACATGCATAGCTAAAAGAAAAATAAACTAGGAAGCAGAAGCCCTGAGTTTTTACCCTCCCTCCTGTATTATACCTACAAGAAACCCACATAATCTCTCAGGAACTTGTTTACTGCTGATTGTGTTACAGTGTTGGACAACACGGTCTTCTAGTATGCCTCAGGTAAAATTCTATTATTCTTAACTGTTATTTGACATAAATGCTACTCTGTGCACTCACCAAAGAAAGGGATAATTTTAGACTATTAAATTATTGTTAAAATGTAATTTTCTCTCCTAGAGAATTTAATTTGCCATCAATGCATTTCACTTATCAGTATGATTTTATAAAACACATGAAAGGTAACTTCAAAATAACAAGGTTCTGAGCAATTATTTTATCTGAAATGTCAACATACCTGTTCATAAAATTCTTCTAGCCCCTTTGGATTGCTTTTTATTTTGTTTAGTTTTATTACCTTGGATGAGTTACAACTTGACTCTGTAGTAAGTGAGCAGTTTTATCAAGAGTCAGATGCATGTAATTATTTTAAAAATCATTTTATTATGGGAAAAGAATAGGATTACACAGGGGCCAGACAAGAGGGTGAACTATGAACACACATAAAAGAAGAACAGAGACATAGTCTTCCTCATCTATGCCAGGCCCAGTTCTAGGCATTTACATACATTAACTCATTTGATACTCCCAACAATTCTATAAAGAAAGTACTCTTACTATATCCATTTTACAGATGAGTTAACAGGGATAGAGACATCAAATAATCTTACAACTGCACTAAAATAAAACAATTAAGGCATCACATCAAAAAAAGGCAGTATATTGCCAAATTAAACATCTCATAGTAGTAACAAGTACTCCACTACTTCCCCTAATTTCTCAGAAACGTTTCCGTGTCTTCTCCTCATCCTGTTTTATTCCAGCTCCATTTCAATCCCTAAGATAACATGCACCCTAAGAGACGTGTCTCTTTCTATTAGGTCCTATGTCCAAATACTCAGTGCCTTTTGATCCTTTAACTCAGGCTTGTTGACGTTTCCATTTTATGACTTTGTAGGGTTGACTCTGGAATTCTCTCTCTTGCTTCCTGCTTCTGACCTCCCTGTTCTGCAAGAGAGCTTCCTAGGCAATTGGAGTTAAAAACATTTCTGAATATCAGTAACTAATGTGCACAGAGTGGAGGATTTGCTTTTTCTGAAGCTGCCCTTCCTGTGCCTAGAATTATGTACATAGTTGATACATTTTATTTATCGAACGGTCCTAAATAATAGATCTACTACAGCACCTGACTTTGTGCCAGATAACGTTCTAAGTACTATACAAACATTAAGTCATTTAATCCTTAAAGAAACCCTGTGAGAAAAGTGCTATTTTAGATGGGGAAACTGAGACAGAAGAGCTTAAAGTCATGTACACAATATAGTCGGAAAACTGCAGAGCTGGGATTGAGCTCAGGTGAGCTGACTTCAGAGTCTGCACTTTCACTCTCTGTCCTAGCAGTAAATGGCTTGCAGAGACATAAATATGCATACTCTCACAGGAAGATTTGCTTGGACAACTAGCAATTGTTCAAAGTGCTGTTATTTCAAAATCAAAACTGTTTTCCTTCACAAAATTACTAATTAGAGCGATAAATTATTCTTAGTGATTTCTATTCTTTGTGTCTATAAATATAAAATATAAATGAGAATACAGGATCTGAAACCAGTACAACCTGGGTACAATCTAGCTGTCCCATCTTTACCAATTGACCAGAGTACCATTCTCAGAATAGATCCTTATCCAATCTAAGTTACAGGATCAGAAAGCCACTGAATATGTGGACAATGCAAATTGTGTAACTCAGAGCAAATGACTTCAAACTCTCTGTACCTTGGTGTGCTGTAGATTGGGAATAATAGCACCTGCATCATACAATTGTATGAAGATTAAATGATTAATATACACAAAGTACTTGGAACAGTGTCTGTTACATAGCAAGTGCTATAGAAGAATTGGCTATTATCACTGGAATTTTTGTCATTGTTGTTATTCCTGTTATTCATATTTAGAGAAATCAAAGTGTATATACACAAAGGAGTCCAAAAGTATTAACAAAACCAGGCACTTTCTTTGTTGAGACTCCCTTTTCTTCTCTCTCTTTCCTCTTTTTATCTATCTATACTCATGTTGGATGAGCTGTCAGACCAGCATCTTTAAATGTCATCTCCAGTCTGGCAAATCTCCAGCTTCGACCTCTTTTCTGAAAGCAATCTCCTCTCCAAATGTCTGTGTGCCACTGCCTACAGGACACCCCGTCTTGTGGGTCTGGTGTCTCAGCGTGGCCATGTGAAAAGTTACGGTCTTGATCCTCACCACTCCCCTTTTCCACAGCAAACAGGTCCTCCCAAGTCTTCTTTCTCCCAGGAAGAGACAACTATCCCTCCAGTTTCTCTGGCTCAAACCTTGACTCATCTTTCCCTCTCCTGCATCCAACGCAGAGGCAAACTCTTTTAGTTTGATCTCCTAAACCATCCTGAACCTGACTGCTTTTCCCACTTCAACTCCCCACCCCCTAGTCCAAGTCCCCATCATCTTGAGCATCAACCCTGGCAATAGCTCCCTGACCAACCCCTTCCTTACTCTTGCCCCCAATCTATTCTTCAAACTGCAGGTACAATATTCTTTCATGACTTTGAATAAATCCCGGCACTCCCAGCATAAAACCCTGTAGTGGGTTCTCACTGTGCTCAGAATAAACCCTCATCCATTTACCACCCCAAAACAAGTCTTCCTTACCCGGTCTCCATCTTCCTCCAGGACTGCACCTCCTTCCATCCTCCCTCCTTCTCAGGAGGCTCCATACTCATGCCAAGGTCATTGCCATGCTCTGCTGGCTGTTCCCTCCACCAAGAATGCTCTTACCCAGAGAAGATCCTGCCATGGACCTCTCCTTCTTCTCACTCAGATGGAATTTCATCAGAGAGGGCTCCCTTGACCTACCTGAAAGGACGCTCACCCATCATCACCTTCTACCCCTAACTACTTTATTTCCTCCCTAGCAAACTTCACTCTGAAACTATATTATTTATTTGTTTGTGTGTTGGTTTAAATGTTGATTATCTCTCTTCTCACTACATTATAAAGCCTATTAGGACAGAAAATTGTTCTTCTTATTCGTCAATGACTCCTCAATACACAAAATAGTGGTTGAGATGTTGTTTAACAAAGATTTATTGAATAAAGAAATGAAATCAAAATACCCAGGTGAGGTAAGATAACAATTTTAAGATACCAAGAAATTGCACATAATTGGCAAACAGAACCCCTGAACACTTGGTTTACCTGACTGGTAAAAGTTGTCCTCTACATGCTGAGGCATGGGAACTATATGTTAAACACACACTTATTTTCTTATATTTTAAAATTTCCTTACAGAAGATTATTCCTTTAAAATGCAATATGTATGGCGATACTATTATAGACATTTAAAAGGCTGGTGTTATTTTCTTTCACCTATGGAAATTAAAACAGCAAGACTTTTGCCCCTTAAAATTTAATCTAGAAATAAGCACCTTCCCTTATCCCTTCACTGGCAATTGCACATAAAGTGACAAGTTTTCAAATAATATGATAAGCAAAAGGTAACAGAAATTAACTGACTGATTACAAATCAAATAGTTAATGTGCAATCCAATCAAAAACACATGTTGTTTAATATTAAGAATAAATTTTATGACGTTTTTAAGTTGTGGTAATTCTAATTTTGACTCTACAAATAGAAGACTCTAACTTAAGAAGCTAAATGAGTTGTAATTCTTATTATGCTTAAATACTTTCAGTATGTAAGTATTTTATCAACAGACTTTATGCAGATCAGATAGTAATAAAGTAGAAAAGGAGACATGTTAACTGAATTTCACGGCTACTGAATAAGTGACAGAAAATGCTTCCAACATACCTTCTGAAAGACTTGGTTTTGTTTTGTGCTTGGGCCGATCCTGGCAAGGGTGAAAGTTCAATTGCTGTAAGACTGCTGGACAGATGACAGAGAAGTTTGAGCTGGTGATCTGGGTGGCATTTGAAAAGCCATGAAGGGAAAAGATCTCTTCGCTAGATAAACACTGAAATAGAATAAACAAGAAACACACATGTGCGTGCCAGCCAAGGTACAAGGAGGAGACGATTTCAGCCAGAAACACAGTGCTAAATCTTTATGCAAAAGCCTACTACAGAAAGGTATGGACCTCTTAAATTGTAAAACAGTACACATCCCTTCAAAGCTAAAAACACAAATAGAGAAACAATCTTCTTAACAGTCTACCTGCAGCAGACACAAAGATAAAAATTGGTTTGAGCATGTCCCAAAACTTGAAAAAAAAAGTTTTAAACACCAATAGCATTCAACCAAAGGGCTTTAAGATTTTATATTCTCAGTCTTCAGTTTACTTTTTTAGTTTGTACAGGTATATTGTGTGGGCTATTGCAGCGACTCCCTGTAGCTCTTCCTGTAGACAAACACCAGTCTTCTCAAGTTTCATAGTTAAGAAATTAATCCCTCCTTTATACTGTAATAATTCCAATATAAAAAATTATTTTAAAATGTCCTTAGCAAAAACTGTTGTTTGCTAAATTATGCATTATTCTCAATGATAGTGGGTAGCTTTTCTATGTTTTATAAAGTTGGGCTATTTAGAAAGTCATTAACTATTAATGAGGAATCAAATCTGTATTAGAAATAATCTCTGTGAAAGTAAATTTTTAAAGATGTCATTTTATTCTCAGGCACATTTTAACCATAAACTACCTTCTACATACTACATGAATTATTAGGGATATAAAATACATGCCAATAAATGCCATAGAAAGAATAGAGTATGAAAAAAATTCATTTCAATATAAGTTTCTCTCTTCATTAAGTGCAATTTAGAAAAGTTTTTTGCATGCCTCAGCCAATACCTAAATTCCACTAAGATCTTAGCTATGTGCTATGGACTGAATTATATCCCCCCCTCCCAATTCATATAGTGAACTCAAATCCCCATTGTGATGGTATTCAAATATGCACCCTTTGGGAGGTAATTAGGGTTAGATGAGCTCATGAAGATGGAACCCTGATCCACTGAGATTAGTGCCCTCATAGAAAGAAACACAACAAGCTTGCTCACTTGCTCCCTCTCTCTGCCATATGAGGGCACAGCAAGAAGATGCCACCATCACTTCTGTGGTTTATCTTACAAGGGTACAAGTGAATCTTTCTATGAGTAGAATATGAACATTTTAACACAATAACTAAGAAAATGACATGAAGGCTATGTTAACCAGTTTGATGGAAGTGTTTGGGAATGTGTGTGAACACACCACACTGTACCCCAGAAGTGCATTAATGTACACAGTTACCATTCAATAAAAAATAAAAAAATAAAAAAGAAGATGCCACCTACAACCTGATGAGAGAGCCCTCACCAGATAGCAACCCTTCTAGTACCTTGGTCTTGGACTTCTGATCTTCAAAACTGAGCCAATAAATTTCTGTTGCTAAGCCACTTAGACTATAGTATTTTGTTATGGCAGCTCCAGCTGACTGATACATTATGAATGGTATTGATATTATTTGAACATAGGTATTATAATTCCCTTCCCAACAGAGACAACGAAATTAAAAGTGTCAGATTTTGATATAAAATTTCTACTATTAAAGAAGGAAATTTTTTAAAAACATGAAATAGACCAAGATGTATGCTGCTATCAAAAGCTAATATTGCAATTACCTTATAGAATTACACATTTAGTTTTTTGGTTTTTGGTTTTTGGGGGGTGGAGGGGTTTGCAGTTTTAACCAGACCCAGTTTTGAACCACCAACACCAGTATATGGGTCCGGTGCCCTACTCCTTGAGCCATAGGCACTGCCCCAGATTTAGATTTTTTTAATGTCTAAGCATGCACCTAAAGTTGCTCCTCATTCAACCCATTCTCTCCTGTGGGTTCATGGTGACGACAGCTGTGTGCCATGCCTAGCTGAGGAGATGCTGCACTCAACGCTCTGCTAGAAGTCCTTGGCTGAAAACAGGGGAAAATAAACTAATAAAGGGAGAAAATAGCTTGCTATCTAACTGAAGAAGGGAAAATGGGTCTAGCTGATTCATCGCCATGAAAACATCCAAGAGCAGAATTGCTAGACTCAAAAATTATAGAGCCAATGTGGTTCAACTGGCCACCACAAGGTTCCAAGAATAAACAGGTGTGATAATACAGACACAAATCTGCACTGTTTCTCTGCAAGGAAATCTTAACCTATTCGGACATCAAGTACTTTCCACTGTAAAATAGTTAATTTCCAATGACTTCTCAGAATTAACACTCAAATTGTAATCCATTCCTAGACCAAGAAATCTACTTGCTAAGGCACAATCAGCATTTTTTAATGAAGTCAAACACAGAATACTTGAAAGAGAGTGTAGTATCACACAATCAGGTAAGTATTGCTCAGTCAAACATCAGCTCCAGTTATACAATACACACATCATACACTTGTGCTCTGTGTCACATGTAAGATGTATGGCTCACTGTGAATGGCAGTCAAGAGTTTGAATGTCATGGCCCTTGACGCCTGAATTTCTCAGTGTACATCATTAAAGATGCTCTCCCAGAGTCTCCCGGTCAGAGAAAAAGAAAAAGCACAGCAAAAATGAATATATAATTAATACCGTCAGATAGCTCAGAGTCTTGAGGATTTGTGCAACATTTTAATAACAATTTTAGCTGGACAGGTAGTCATTAACCAGCAGGAAGAACGCGGAGATGTAGAGGTGATAAAACCCAAAGCCTCACCTTGAGATAACAGAACAAGATCAGACTATTAACCGTGAGATAAGACTGACTTGACAGGCCTGCTTTATTGACACCTATTTTGTTTAAAATAGCTATCTACCAGGAAATAGAATGCACATAATTTTGGACAGCGGCCTATTCTGGCTTCAAACAATCTTGATATTTATTATACTTTGATTTAACAAAGTTGAACCCAAAACAAAAGAAAGCAGTTGTCTAAGAAAGGGTGGTGTCTCCCAGAACAGGGACAAACAGGATGAGAGGCTGAACAGTGGCACTAACCATGCCAACAAAACCAGTTGAACCATTGACGAGGAAGTTCAAACACTCTCAAGGACACCCTTTCACCTCCAAAACAATGAATAAATAAATTATGGAAATCATAGGATCGCCAAGAGCTCCTTACAAAACAGGGTAATTATGTTGGATAATTGCACTGAATGGCATGTGCCTTAATGAAACTCCCGTGTTTGCGCCATCTTCTTCACCTGTGTGCACTGGCAGCTTCGCTTCCTTCCATCTGCTTGTTTTTGTGACACTGCTGTTCTCAGGGGTGCTGCTCTCATGTTTGCTGGAACAAGGTTTGTGCTATCAGAGACATCTCATCAGTGGATGCCCTAGGGCTCAGTGGGTTGACGTTTCTCTAAAGATGGTTTTTAAGCTTTGAGTTAAACTCCGACTTGAGAGCCCCTTGCCACATTACGCTGACCTCAGACGGGCTTTATACACATATACACGAAACACCAAAGTAAAGTAGCAGGCAGGACTAGGGGGGGTTAGACACACATTACAAGCTAGACGTCCAGTGTGACTCAGAATCCATTTAGCAAGCAGTTCCACACATTTCTGCTCTGCTGGCCATTCCTTCTTCCTCAGCAGTTGTGACAAGTTAGAATATTCTCTGCTTCCTTCCCAAACATGTCTTTGTGGGAGAGCTGGGGGCTGTGCAGAGAAAGGACAGGCGAAGGGGGAGAGAGCTGGACAAGTTCCTCCCTCAACATTCTATACAATTGGGCCAGGCACGGTGGCTTATGCCTATAATCCTAGCACTCTGGGAGGCTGGATGGATCGCCTGAGCTCAGGAGTTTGAGACCTACCTGGGCATAGCCGAGCATTGTGGTGGGCACCTATAGTGCCAGCTACTCAGGAGGCTGAGGTATAAGGATGACTTGAGCCCAAGAGTTTGAGGTTGCTGTGAGCTATGGCACCAGTGGCACTCTACTTGGGACCATAGAGTGAGACACTGTCTGAAGAGAGGAAGAGGAGAGGGGAGGGGAGGGGAGGAGAAGGGAGCCTGAGGGGACGTGTCTGGGTCACAGGGGCTGAGCCCTCATGAAAGGCTTGGTGCCCTCCTGTCATAATGACTGAGGTCCCCAGTATTAGTTCCCCTGAAAGCCCCTTGTTTAAAAGAGCCTGGCACCACCTCCCTTTCTTGCTCCCGTGCCCTCCCCGGTGACACGCCTGCTCCCCCTCCCCTTCGGCCTTGAGTAGAAGCCCCCCGCCCCGGAGCTCTTATCCAGAAGCAGATGCTGGTACCATGCTTCTTGTACAGCCTGCAGGACCGTGAGCCAATAAACAGCTTTTCTTTATAAATTACCCAGCCTCAGGTATTTTCTTCATAGCAGCACAAAATGGACTAGCACACATCCCACTCTTGATTATTTCCTCTTAGTAATTTTCCATTCACTGACCCGACTCTGATCATTGCCTATAAATCCTAACTCATCCATGCTAGATTCAAATTGAGCCCAGTTCTTCGACACTGAGGTCTTTTTTCCCCTTGTGAGAATTAGTTTTATGTCAGCTTGTCTAGCCGCCGGGAGCCCAGATTAAACATTATTTCTGGGGGAGTCTGTGACGGTGTTTCTTGATAAGAGTAGCCTGTGGATCAGTGGACTAGTAAAGTCAATTGCTCTCTTCCATGGGAGGCCTGAACAGAATGAAAAGGCAAAGGGAGGAAGAATTTGCCTCATTTTTCCTACCGCACTGCTTGAACCGAGACATCGTGTTTCATTTTCTCCAGTCCTTGCTCTAAAATTTACACCACTGCACTGCTGGGTTCTCAGACCAGGGACTGGAACTAAATTACACCACTGTCTTTCCTGAGTTTCCAGCTTGCAGACAGCAGATCACGGGGCTTCTCTTGCTTTACAACTGCATGAGCCAATTCTTCATAAAAAATATCTGCTACCAAGTCTGTTTCTCTGGAGATCAATGACTAATAAACCCTTAAATCAATAGTTCCTGAATCACTTTCACTGTGATCAGGCCCTGGTTTTCTTTAACAATATC